AAACTCTAAATAAACAATATTCACAGGGTATCCGCGGGTCCTTAAAAAGTCTTAAAAAGTCTTAAATTAGCTTTTCCTAATTTAAGGCCTTAAAAGTCCTTAAAAATGACAAATAATCCTTAAATCCAGTTTCCAAAGGTCTTAAATGACCAAAGACCCAATAAACAAGATTCTTTTATTTCTATAAAAATTCCGTGAATTTCTAGTTAGTGTTCAGCATTTTTTGTGTATGATGTTGACGTAAGCGGAACCGTATGCAGTCAATTGGTTGTGAAAGGGGGCTATTTTTTTTTAGATGAGCACATTAGCTGGTTAAGCTAGTGGGAGCTTGCGCCATGGGAAAGGGCAAGTTTAATGGTAACTGGATGGCTAATCCCACGTTCGCAACGTGGTTAGCACCGGTTCCAGGCAATAGCTGGAAATTATAGCTTAAATTTAATTTTTAAAATAGCTCAAATTTGGTCAAAGTGGCCTTAAAAAAGGTCTTAAAAAGTCTTAAATTTGGCTCCCTTAAATCTGCAGATACCCTGTATTCGCATCTGGAATCGAACCCGAGTCTTCACTTTACTAGGTGAGCTAAAGCATCAGTGACGTACTTTGCATCTGTAACATTTTATATCCTTGATGACAGCTGAAACACTGTTCAAAGAATGGTTCGGAGCGAAAATGGCTATTTTGTTGCTAATTTCAGGACATATCTTGAAGAAAGTTCTACAGAAAGCAGCTAAGGGTCCTCAGAAATGTAGCTACCTTTGTCACTAGGTGTTATGATGGCAATCTACTGATAGCAAATGCTATGGGCAATGCCTGAGCGTGAGCGCGCATGAAGCAGCCTGCTCGACCCGAGCAGCTCTCTTTTTCTGTGATTTTACAGAAAAACAGGCAATCACAGTAAAAATGCCAGGGCTCATTCTACAGGACCAGGGCATTGCAGGAGAATGTATGAAGAAGAAATTTATTATTTCTATACATGTTTTGGCTGTCAAACTTCCATAATGCCCTTTTAAATATAAATTATGTGTGTTAATTCACTTTTACAAGGGGTAAAATGGAGAACAAAAGAAAGTCTATTTTGAAATAACGTAACTATTTTCTAATAACTTTCTAAAAATAATGTTTATTTTATTTTTTAATTCTAAAAGAAACAAAACGGTGAAACATTATTACAACTGAAAGGGAATTCATATTATTATTATTATTATTATTTTGATGAATAGGATTTGATTTGGTTAGAACAAAACTGCAATAAAATAAATAACTCATAAATTAAAATAAACATGCATTTTTATACTTTTTTTCATGGTATTTAAAGTTAATTAAAATATATGTCTAAAAATAATCATTATTTGTTGATCAGCTTGAGCCTAGAGAAACAAAGGCATTATTCAGATATTCAAGTTTTTATTTATTCAAAAAAAATATAATATAATATAATATAATATGTAAAAAAATTTACACCAAATAACACAATGTTCTCTTGGTTTATTAGTTAAAAACATGTCGGTTTTAGTTTAGAGGATATTAACACACACACACACACACACACACACACACACTCACACACACACACACACACACACACAGCTTTCAGAACTGGCTCTGTTTTATGACAGACATCCAGACAGAGAACAACCACTAAGAAAAGCTTTTGCTCTTTTTATGGCCCTATAAATATGTTGTTATCTGTGGAAGCTGCTGTGAGATTTTTCCACACGATTAGCGCCGATGGCGAGCCACGCATCCTGAATCATTAATTTAGCAAGAGCCGGCGCTACATTCACCTTAATTTCTAATCTCTGCTGTTTAGAAGAGCTGCTTTTAAGCAGGCGATGAGGCGCGCCGGTTCATTATATGTCGCTTAGGTGCATTTTTTAAATTATGTTTTGAAAGCATTGGGACACTGGCTCTAAAGGCTTGGAAGTAATCCATGTCACAGCGGATCTATACCCTTAATGCATTAAACATTAGCAGGATAAGTGACATTTAATTAGGCCGGATTTTGAAGACCTTTAAAAGTAATCACAAGAGTATTTGTTACCAGAGTTGATCAGCCAAAGAATAATCTGTTATTTGGCCCTAACCTGTGTCTGTAGCTCCACCTAACTGGTCTCAGCTGTAAACCAGATTGTTTTTTTCTGGGTCAGAGAAAGACCTGCTTTCCTCAGGAGCAGGGGACCACCTTAAGGTCTCCCAAATGTCTTAGTTTCACTTTTCTCGCTCTAATTTAGGACAAAATGCTCGAATGTGAGTGAGAAGCAATAAGATGAGCCGATTGTCTCTGGACTTTGTGCTGCTTGTGGGATTTCACTCATTAGTTTGGTAGTTAAAGAGCATCTTTAAAATTGTAGTAAAACATCATCTGAGATCCTTCGTGGCATAAATAGCAGCTGTTTAAGAATACTAAATCAGGGGATAGGGTGACCACATCCCAACTTGCCAAATGTGGGACAGAGATACTCAATGTGGGACAACGTGAAGTTGTAATGTAATGAGAAAAAACAAACAAACAAACAAAACATGTATTCTGCCTTTTAGCCCTAATAAAATTATTATTTGTATTATCATCATATATTTCTTGTGTATATTTTATTTGAATTGAACATGAAGAAGCAAACAGTAAAAGCTTTACTATTTCACAGTCCCTCTCACGTTACCACAACATAACTCTGTAGTGGCTCTGATCATTTTAATAACATAGATAGGTCCACAATAATAAAAACATGCAGGTTTAAAAGGACTTTACGGAGTTTTGAATTTTTATGCTCGTGATTGCCCCCTCAGGCCAATAGCGTAACGGCAGCTTCAATAGTAGGCTCGTGCACGAGGCGCACATGCTGTACGTGCACACTCCTTAACGAAAATAACAGCTGAGACAGTCCCGTGTGTGTGGGGGTGTGTGTGTGGGTGTGGGTGGCCCGGAGGACAGAGGACAGGAGAACGTTCAGCTAATTAATTAAATAATGTGGTTCTGTACCTTTCTCTTCAGCACAGCCGAAAAAGGTTTATGATGGGTCAGTCCTCCTGCATGCTCAGATCATTCCCTTCCCTTGCTTGAAAAATTGTTCCAAAATGAAAGTTGAACCCACATCTTTTTTATCTGTGAATTCAATGCCGTTCGGCAAGTCTCAAATGAAAATTTGGGCATCTTACTGTAAAAAAAATACCATTAATGTAAAAAAGAAACTCTAAATAAACAATATTCACATCCAAAATCGAACCCGGGTCTTCTGCACAAGAGTCCGACGTCTTACCAAGTGAGCTAAAGCACCAGTGACATCTTTTGTATCTGTAACATTTATATTGTTGATGACAGCTAAAACAACGTTCAAAGAACGGTTCGGAGCAAAGATGGCTATTTTATTGCTAATTTGCAGGAAATATCTAGAAGAAAGTAGCTAATTTCCCTCTGGGATTAATAGTGTCTTTGATTGATTGATTCTAATTTTAGGTAAGAGAATAAACATCAGATTGAATCTGTAAAAAAAACAGATCTAATCTAATAAAAGTTTCTTAGAGTTACTTTTTGGCTCAAATGTCTGAGAATAAGTGATGAAAGCTTCCATTTATTAGGCCCGAGCAGCGAAACCGTCATCCTTACGTTTTTTTCAACCAGCCACTCCTGAAGGTGTCTGTCCCCATCTGTCCCTCCCCGTGGTGATCTGAGCTTCAGCTCTAACGGAGAGACGCTCATGGAGCGCTGCAGCAGGTGCAAACTGTCTAGTGGGAAAGTGTTGCAGCGAGTTTTGGAGCTACGCAGAGAAATGGCAGAATTCAAGGAAGAGCAAAAGCCCGACGTTGGTCAGTTTTCTGTTGTGTGTGTTACCAAGTTGGCTTATCCAAGGAGGCCACACATCTATCCCTGAAGTTAGTAAAAAAATCACTGCCTTTATGAGGAAAACAGACCTGTGGAAAAGAAGGATGCAAGCTGGAATAACTGACATGCTCCCCCAACCTGTCTGTTGATATTGTGAACAAGGTTGTAAGTTCACACCTAACATCACCGTGTGAGCGCTTCAGCTCCTACTCCTCTGATGTGAACACTGATGCTTGGGACAGGGTGTGTGATCCAAGTGCTGCAACAGGAAGTGGCTGAAGAACAGCTCTTGGAGTTTTCCTGTGATCGAACACCGAAGGCCAGATTCCAGCAGGCGAGTCTACAAACGTTTGGGCCTCCCTCTCACAGGAGGTTCCTGAGCTGGCTGCTGAGGCTGCACAAGTGTTGCTCCTCTTCCCTGCCTCCTACTTCTGTGAATCATCATTTCAACTCTGACTGTGATGAAAACTAAGCACAGGGCTCGTTTACAAGTGGAAGATGATCCTAGAGTCAGTTTGTCATATTGAGACGGGCTCATCCTTCTCACTAGTAGTTGATGTTACTGATGACCTGATCACTGTGTGTAGGAAAGCATAAAGCAAAGGATGAGGCCAAGTTTTCCTGTTTTCTGCCCAAACTCAACATGTTCATTGTGTTTAAAGTCTGTGTAAAAAAGTATTTGAACTCATTAACTAAATAAAATGGGTTTATTGAAATTGTTTCAGTCTTTTCACTGAATTTTTGGGGAAGATTTCAAAAAGACAGTTAAAATGTGAATAAATTAGCCCAGTGCTTAAAAATGTTCAAACATTTTTATTTTAATTTCTATAACGTCTACTTTACCATGAAACAGAGTATTTATGTTGAATGTTTAGAAATAAAATAAATCTCTGCAGTATCTGGGAAGACATGAGGCTGTTTAGAAGATCTTACGAGGATTATAAGGGGTTCCTTGGAAAGTGTTTGCCCCATAAGAGGTCCCTGGCCCCCAAAAAGTTGGAGATCCCCTGTTCCATAAGTCATTTCAGGCATGCTACTGTAACAGCCCACCAGGTGGCGCTGTATCCCACCTGAATGGAGCTCCCTCTCAGATACTGGGAACCATGGTGGTAATCATCATGTACTGTATGTTTTCTCCTGATGGGTTTTCCTGTAATCATTTTGGATTTTGGATCGTGTTTTTCAGGATCACAGACCAGCGCTACGAGAGGTTGCCATATTTTATCTTTGGGGACTTTAACTTCCGGTTGGACTCCAAGCAAGTTATTGAGGTGAGTGTTCCTGCTTTGGAGGCTCATGTAGGGGTGGCACTCAGCGGTCCAATAATCAGCGGACCTGTTCAAGGTTAAAGCTTTGTTGGTTTCATTCAGAAGGGAGGAAGGAGGGCAAGATCTGAATGTCGGACTCAAACCACCAAATCACAGAGGAAGCTCTTTTTTAAGTTTAATTCAAGGAAACAAGTTTAGAATATAATCAGTAAACATGAAATTCCATCCAAAATCCATCCAGAAGAGACATCTTATGCTCTTTTTTTTTTTTTACAAAACAGAAAACGTCATCAGATTAATTATTAACAAACCACTTCAATAAACTTGAGTTGGACTGTAAATCGACCATAAGACAACATAATGAATGAACTTAATAACCCTTCCAAGCTAACGCTAACCCTAATATGTGGTTCCCATGAAGGATTTTCATCAAACATGACACCAAAAACGGGATTTCCTTTAACCTCTTGAGTTCCATACATCCATTTTCAACAATACATCGGTACCTCCGTCATTAAACTGCATTAAATGAGTTTTCTTAAAGTTGAGTGACAACCTATTCATGTCAAACCAGTTTGTGATTTTCAGTAAGTCATCATTTATCACTTTAATACCTTCATAAATGTCTGTGTGGCAAAGAGAAGGAAAGCTTTGTCGCTCCGCTGCTAAAACCCTGCAGAAGCTCCAGTTAAAGGAGACGTTTTCCACTCAGCCGGACTGCTGCTGCAGTTAATGGTCACCAGTTAACCTCATCAGAGGTTTGAGGATTCAATAATAACTTCCCGTGTTCATCCTGCAGGTTCACTCGCTGGTTCTACAGTCAAAGTTACTTAAACTCTCATTTACAATAAAAACGTAATTAAACCCAAAATAATTTGCTAGCTGAAAAAGTCGTTTTCCACATACATTTATTTGTAAATAAAAACAAACATACATTTAAAGCATGTTTGTAAACAGGAACATAACACCAGAGGAAGAAGAAAATCAGCAGTTTTTATAAAAGGTTTTAGTAGTTCTAGTTACAACCAGTCAGGGTCACAAGCCCCGCCTACTCTCGCTACTGGTTCAGCTCTGAGTACAAAACGCCAAGGCAGGTGCACGTTTGGTCCTGTCAGGACGCTCCGGTCAAGTGGAGCCAAATGGGCCTTTTGTTTCCACCGTTGTCCCTGTTTTGTTTTTGCAGTAAAATTGTTTAGAGTTACTAAAGAATTGATTTTTCATTTAATCTAAATAGCTAAAATCTCCCCGGAGCTGGAGGCCCGACGTGGAGGAACCAGTGAAACTAGTGTTTTGGTGTTTTTGGTCGATTCTCGTTCCTGATGCTCGGGATTAGTCTTCCATCGGAGCATATCAGTTTGTTTCCACCTGTCCTCCTGAAACAATTTTCCATATTTAACATAAATCAGACTTTTCTTTGGATTATTGATTCAGTAGAATTTTCCCAATAAATAAAAAAATGTGCTCAAAGTGGGAAAAGATGTGTGTGTGTGTGTGTGTGTGTGTGTGTGTGTGTGTGTGTGTGTGTGTGTGTGTGTGTGTGTGTGTGTGTGTGTGTGTGTGTGTGTGTGTGTGTGTGTGTGTGTGTGTGTGTGTGTGGCTGCACAGCTACAGCTTGATAATGCACTAAATGAGGCGCCTCCTCGAGCGTTCTCAGGAGGTGCGGGACAGTGGGCTGGGGGGACTCTGGGTGGCTGGTGTTTACTTGGAGACGGGCAGATGTTGTTGTTTTTTTCAGAAACCTGCATGGAGATCTACCAGTCCAGGCCCAACGGAGACCCTGCTGCTAGCAGCCAAGAGGGCCGTAATGTCAGCGATAAACAAATGGGGTGAAACCTCGGTGCAGGATGTAACTCACAGCCTGGAGGCCATTTTAAGCCCTTTAATGACAATTAATGTCAACAGGACAATTAGTGCACATCCACTGAAGTGCTTAGCTGTAGATGGGCTTCTGGTGGATCGATACTTATCCGCCAAGTGATTCAGACACCTTGGCCTTTCCTTCCCACCCAGCTCTTTCTTTCCCCCCTTTGCCCTTTGCTCTGCCCTGGATTAATTAGTAGAAAATAGCCCAATAGCTACATTGAACTGCTTTTGATTTCCTGAACACTAGAGTTAATTCTCAGGCACCCACTGGACCCGCTGGTCTTCCTTAGAGAGTCACTGATCACAAAGTACTCTAGTAATTGTCTTTACAGCTGCAGACCACACCAGTCCTCCTGGATGACTGGACTCTGGCCAGCGACCAGGGCGGTGATGAGAGGAGGGATGCTAGGATGCATGGAAATGTTGGCGTCTTTTAAACCAAGTGGGTTTGTTATTGTCAGAAAGCAAATTCCAGGTGGCAAATTCCTGGCATGCTTGTGCGTCAGGATCAGTAACCACAGACCTGCAGCCGCCCCCCCTTGTGCCCAGCCCAGGCAACCCCATTAATTGTGTCAGACGGAGGGAATTGGTTTCAATTGACCCCCATTCAGTGGCCCTTTGAGTGGCGAACAAAAGACACAGCCACGTGGAGACTAATGCTGGGGCTGAGCAGCCTGGAGGTGGTCCAGACCCCACCAGCTCTCTCCTTCTTCTCCCATGGGTCTTATCGCGCTTTGGCTTGATCATGATCTGCATCAGCGCTAATAAAACAAGAAATCATGCAAAGAAAAAGGTTTTGAAGCTTCATTCGGCTGAATTATAGTAACGGGAAACTTCACAGAGTACATGTTGGTAGGTTTGATGCAGTTTGAGTATCTTGGTGCTTCTAGCTGATGGAAAACCCCTGAAGCGTCCAAATGCAGGTTTAGCTGGGTGTGTGAACGGTTTACACGAAGCATTCATTCAGGTTTACACATCAAAGCTAATCTTTAGCTACGGGAGGGTTAACCAGGTTTAGATTCACCAGAGCAGCTATGGGATAAATCTAAGTTCATCCCACCTTCTACTGTTATTATTCACTACTTTTAAATGTTGGGTGAAATTTCTGCAGGAGTTTGATTTCTTTCCTACTTTCTGTTAGAAAATATTAGAGGAGGTGAAAAACATTTCTATGAGCCCGACTCTTCTTCTGCTGCCGTTCCTGCTCTCCAGTGGTTTTGGGAGCAAATCAAGCAGCCCTTTCCCTCCACATGACGGTCAACAGTAGAGTTTTCATGAATCTATAGAAAGATTTAATTCTCCAAGTCTTTGATGGATCTACAACTTTCAACCTGTTTAAATTAGTAAACAAAGTGGGTGGATTGTTCAGCATTTAACTGGTTTAAAACTCATGAATAACTTTGGTAAAATTGTGAATTCCCTTAAAATGTTTGTACTTTAGCCCACCTGTACTTTTAGTTAGAGGTTTGTTTTGGTTGATGGGAGTGAAGTTCTGATTTAATAAGGATCCTGCTCGAACTGTTCACTCGTTGGCTCGTTAAGTTTCATGTCTTTTAGCAGCTTGTTAACTTGATGCAACAAATACAAGATCTTCATCTTCAACTAGCTTTCAGGTATTTTATTAAAAAAAGGGTGTTGAGGATCTACTGCTCTGTCACAGGTGAGGGGTGGCCTCCGTCTGCCTTTGGTTCCACATTTTCAGTAGGAGGTTACAGCGATGGGTGTCTGCGGTGCTTCTGCCCCCAGCGGGGCCGTTATTCCAGGGTCAATGGCAGAATCAGGGCTCTGTGCCCAAATTCCCAGTATATTTAAAATCCCTCCTAATTAAACTTAATAGAATGTAAATTTAATATCTGCAGAGATTGTGTGCTGCTGGTCGGCCGGCTCCAATTTGAAGAATGATGGAGGCCAGCCAGAGGGTTAATTGCTGACTTGATCTACTGTCACCCAGACACGGTGTGGGGCTGTTTTAATTGAGGCTGAGCTGCTGCTACACGGACAGATTTCATTAGACAAGCTGGCTTCTCATTGACTGGATTAGCGCTCCCTACTGGTGTCAGCAGGAAGAGCACAGGAGTCCGGGTCGGGCATCAATCTGCCTTTCTTTGTCCTGTGTCCTTTCTTTTGCTCGAGCAGCATGAAATTAAAGGTGGGGCCAGACTGTTCCCTCTCTGAATGGATGTTGTAATGTGCCTTGTAATGACAGAGCAGCCGGCTTTCCTCACTGAGGAATCACTCATGCACTTTGGAGCAAAAGGAGTTAAATCACCTTCAGGACGAATGCCTTTTTTTATTTTTGTAACAGATACAATTTTATGTTAATATTGGAGAATGAGGTGTCTTTTAAATTTGCCTGATTTAACTGCAGTCGTGCAGTCTCAGTCTGGGTAGATCATTTCCACAGGTAAGAGCAGGACCATTTCACTTTTAGCCCCACTCTGGCCAGCATGTATGTGCTGTTTCTGGCCAGCTATAAATCAAAAGGCAGTCTTTGTAATTAAGTGTACACTACATTAGTCAGGCTAATTAATTTTGGAGGCCATCCATCCATTAACCAGTGGGCCAGCACTGATTGGGCCTCTGTTCTCAGGAACTCCTGACTCCAGGGACCATGATCCTCTCCGGCTGCCCGCAGCTCCCCAGATAAACAGAATATATAGAAAGAAGTCTGATATAGTAAATAGAGCAGCTACCCGGTGTTGTATTAAGCATTTTATTGCTGGATAAAATAGTATTGACAATTCTTTCATGCTGTCTGTCTGGACTAATAAAACATGCCCTACCTAACATCGTCTTAGTTGTCCTGAAGCCGTAAACCTAATCTGTTTATGGCTCCATGCAAGTCAAAACAGAATAGTTATTACCTGCTATTCAACCCGTTTATGACTTCATAGGTAAAGCCTGCGCTGATATTTCCTCACAGTACAATACAGACATTTTATCTGACAAGCAGAGTGCAATCTATCACAATGAGGGCCTATTATGTCCCTGATAACCCATCTGGATGTAAAAGGAGACTATTCCCTCTAGACAACAGCGCTCTTCTCTCTCTCCTCTGTTTGCTCTCTATGCTAATGATCATTGCTCTGGACACACGGGGAAGAAAGAGTTCAGCAATGAGGGTGTAACTTGAGCAATGC